ATGAGAGAAGCAAGAGGATAGTATCCGACACACATTAGGTATAGTTTTCATATTCTATTACACGCCGTATCTATATAGATATATATATGCACTGTACCGTATCATGCTTCATTAATATTGTTTTTGTTAACATCACATTATTTTTGTATAAATAATACAACAATATAGTTATTAGAATAATTGTTTTATTTTGTATTCGATGATTTAATATGTGTGTGTGTGTGTGTGTGTGTGTGTGTGTGTGTGTGTGTGTGTGTGTGTTATACTATATATACATATTTTTTATTTATGTACCTACGTATAATATAATATACTGAAATTCCTGCAGACGTAATTTAATACAATGTAATAATCGTACTCGCGTTTCATTGAGAATAGATATTTCATGACATGAACTCATAGGTATATGCGGAATTTTGTTATTATTGTGAATATATGTACATTATATTATATACATTTTTGTGTACTGATAGCTGATACTGAGATTATAATATACTATTTTATGACTATTATTATAGCTTATAAACCAAAAATATGATATTGTTCACTGAAATACATACTGTACTTTTGAAGCTCGCACTGCCTTAATATTATTATTCTTATATTAGAAAAATACTAAAATGTGTGCAGCTATGTGTTCGTATAAATAACGTATACGGTATACATATACATCTGATATTCAAGTGTGATGCGATTTGTGTGAGGTGTTATATTCCTTCCAGTATTGAATAATATATAGCTCCTATATGTATTCCTATACTGCAGCCATACTGGTTAAAATAAAAAAAAAAACGCAATTCAAACATGACGCTGCAGAGCGTTAACATTCCGTGGCCGAGTGCAGTGTCGTTGAGACATTGTTAGTACATCCATAATATACTTATGACTGCAATACATACACATAATACACAAAACCCAATACAATATAATAATATAAAAACTTGAATCTACATAATATTGATCTATTTTATGATTACTTATATGTATAATAATAATATACTGTTATATTGTTTCTAATCTCTGGGTATAATATTATATTTATTATATTAGATACTTATATTGATATATTTCATAACAGTTAATGGGTTTGTTCGGTGCACAATCTAATCATATTATATCACTATTATAAATTGTTATCAAATTAATAGAACGGACACCAGCCCGGACCCTCTTGGACGGTACCTTTTATATCAGTCGAGTTGGTGCCGTGCTCCGAGTGCACTGCCTCTCGTATTCGAGTTTCATATTATATAAAACATTGATATTTGCGTTAACTAAATTAACCAGAAAAATTATTTAAATTGCTTTCATGCGTACCTTCCAGTAACACGAGCAAAAACAGGGTGATCATGACGATTTCACTTTTTGTTAATAGGTAATTCAAGATGTGCATTTATAACTTTGAATACATTGAGTTTTTTGTAAAAATATAATTTATAAATTAATTGTATAGGTAGTAGCGGTACATCGTACATGATATGTATACTACAGATCCTATATGTATATAAATGTTAAAATATATGCAGTTGATGCTGCAGGATAACATTTTTTTTTCGTATTACAAGTAGAATGGTTTATTATTATTAATCAAATTACTTATAAAATATACAATATCCTTCAAAAAATGAATATGTTGTATTATATTATGGTGATTGTTGTCTATAGGTTAATTTTGAATAATTCCGTACAATATAAGAATCAAATATCTACATACTTTTATATACTTAGTCACTTAGATATACTACATACAGAAACATTCATATATTATATTATTTTGTACATGTAATAAAGTCATGTTGTTTTTTTGTTGAGGATAAATTATTTTCTTTAAAAATGTACCTACATATTACAAGATTATAATATTATGCTTATATTTTATGCATACCTAATACCTGTATATTATATTATCATTATATCAAACACTCTAAATATAATTTAATAATATATATAATATATCTTAATTTATGGTCACGACGATAGTCTATCTACAAAAAAAAAACCAAAAAATAACACATTTGAAGGCGGGTATCAGAATTATACGTAGGAAATTACTTTTTTGTTTTCATTTCCCATTTTATAAAGGTCTATACACACAGTCAGCTATTACAATCACACGATACGGTAAAAAACTGAAAAAATATTCCATCCTATATATATTATATACCTATAATATACAAGTGTTGTAATATTATAAAAATAAATTGCTTTTATACCAACGTTAAATTATTATTTTTTGATACGATACACCTATATATATATATATATATATATATAGTGGTATATACTTAAAATAAATGGAAATTTCGCAGTTAAACGTCATATTTAAGAACAATGTTAATTCGGATTAAACCTTTTCGATTTGTACTTAATATTTTTATGGCATGCGGTACCCATAAAACTATCCAACCATCTGACGCACGGTATATAGGTACCTATAATATTATATACAATATACATATATATGATATTATATTATAGCCTATGGGTAGTGGATGGAGATTCAATTACAGAACAAATGCGCTGTACATAAACGGTGGAGTTAGTATAATTATTGTTAGAGTTCTGTGTTTTTGATAAAATAACAGTTGGCTTTAACCTTGAGATATAATGTGTAATATTCAGCTATAGGTATTATATAGATATATGATATGACAAACGTTAAAAAACCATTATTCGTCTAAGAAGTTATAATGTAGGGCCGGATATGTAATTGGTTTTTCAAATGATATGTACGAGCTCGTATACGGCAACCCTCTTAGTCTTTATATTATTAGACGGACTGGTAATAAACATTATATAGGCACTTCTTATATTATGTATCTAGTAATAATAAAAGTTTTTTTATTAACTACGTTTATCATCTTTGGGTTTATTTACAACTCGTGCGCTTAACCCACCGCTATAATTTTATATGAAATCGTAGTCTTGAGCGTAAATAATATTTTGACTATGGTATTATTATTATACATACATATAAGATATAAATATCCATACATATTACATATTATTGTATATATATTATATATATATCAGGTACCTTCAGAGTATGTTTTTTGCTTTTAAGAGTCTTGCAGTGAGATGTGTAAAAATATAATATTTCCATCAGCCCAAGTATAATTATTTATTAGTATTAAGTTCGCGGAATATGGTATACAAATTATATATACATATTGTATATTTTTGTGATTCGGTACTTTTACGTATGGGTATATAATATATAGAGTATTATATAGATAGTATTACCCGGTAGTATATAGATACTACCGGGTCATGCAATCATGTACGTATATATGTACCAATTTAATATATGATTCTGACTATGATTATAGATTTATGTTGATAATTAAAATATTATTTTGTACATTACACATTTCACATTTTTTTCAATTTAAAACGTGACTTATCAAAATTCAAAAATAATTTTCAATAATTCTAAATTTTAAATGAATTCCCAATAACATAATATTATAATACCTATATAAGGTAGTTGTATAATTTTTCAAATATAATACTTTAATATTGGTTCTTGGGAGGAAAAAGTGTTTCTCAAAATGGAATAACAGAACTTTCAATATTGAATACAAAGTTGGTAAACCGCAAGTTTATTTCAGCAGGTATGAATATAGAACCACTATAAATAGATGAATACAAAAAAAGATTGAATATATTTCCCGAAAAGCTATATAATAAATTCTATAATATGTATATAGATATGAATTACCTATATTATGTTGTATACAAAAAAATATTGTAAGCATTTTAAAAATAAGGATTATTTATCTTTGGATATAGGATTTATTTTTTTGGGTACAGGTACCTTCATATTATCAAAAAAAAAGTTTTAACAGAAACTTAAAGCACGATACCTAACAAAAAAAAAAAAAAATAGCATTGCAATATTTTAAACAATATTCAATACACATGTTATATCTATCAGTAGGTATTCTAGCTAGTACGACTGGTTCTTAATCTCAAGCTTATTTTGTTCTAACCACCTGTCTGCAGATTTATTTGGCATATAATTATCCTCAATCCGTGAAATAATTTCAGAACTTCTTTATTATCTTTCTCTCTGTTACATGCACATTGATCGCCGATAAATCTTTATTCGATGTATTATGTTCTATTGTATCTTTTCGATTCCTCTGATACGCAGCACGCAACTTTCATGAAGCTTATTTCGGGCTTCACACGCATAGGACCAAGTCTGTTAGTATTTACACTTTAATACCCCATTATATTATGACGACTTAAAAAAAAAATGGTAAGAAATTTCACGTCAACTCATATAACTTACGTCATCGCACTTACATTTTACACTGTGATATAGTCTGTGCAGGCTATGTGTAGGTACACGATTTGGATATAGGCATAAATGCTCAACTACTACGGCCGTGGGTTTCGGTCACATCAAACAAGTGGCACCGCGACGATAACAGTATAATAACCGCGTTAAAAATCAGTGGTGCAGGTGCGGCGCGGAAAGTAATAAGCTGCATCAGAATATGGGACCGAACATCGCATGGGTAGGTCATAGTATAATATTATGCCTTTACTGTATGCCGCCGCAGCGCGCGCGGGTGGACGGCGGCGGCGGTGGCGGGAAGCGAAACGCGCGGCTCGGATTAATTTTTTCGGCCGCGTCGATGTGCTGGCGGCGGCGGCGGCGGCGGCGGATGAGAGGCCGCGGTGGCCGCGCGCTTGAGTACGGACCCGGCCACTCGCCGTAAACGTGAGCACACGTATACCATTATGTACGAGCGGGAGCGAAGCGAGTATTCGTGATGCGGCCGCCGTGGCAGTGGAACAGGAATACGCGAGGGGATCGAGCCCGACGCGTTGTTAAATGGGTTTTAATATCGTCGTCGTCGTCGTCGACGTCGGCCTCCGCTCCGCCGCTAAATCCCCTCCGTCGTCCACTCCATCGTCGGCGGGTACTGATTTCCCGCGCGCGCGCCCGTCCACCAATCGGAACGCGGCCGAGGCGGTGCCCGGCGGACGCCCATCTCGACGGGCGGCGGTGACGGCGGTCGGCGCTGCCACCGCCGTCGACGTCGTGCGCCGCCTGCCACTCGCAGTCCGTCGCGCACACCGTGTCCAACCGCGCCGCAACGCATCGTCGCACGCACACGCAAGCGCGCTCAACGATTTAATATTATTTTATGATAATAATTATTATATACTGTTATTGGTATACTCTCAACGTGCGGACGCGGAACATAACGTAAATAAGAACGATTGTCAAAATATTGTAAAATTATCGTCACCGTCGTCGTCGTTGTCGTTTCGTGCGGAGATTTCCTTCATCACACTGCGCACCTCGGTCGTGGATTCGATGCGACGAAACGGAACCGCAACTACAGTCGTCGCCGTGGTCCCCGAAATGCGCCGGTCGCGTTGTTAATACCGCTTGCACACATAACTACGGCAGGATCACCTGTATAAAATAGGTACATTCACGGATTTAAAAACCATCGTGATCGCTCGTTCATCGCGACTTTAATATTATATATACTGTCCGTCGAGATTTAGTGTTTGAAGTTTTTTTTTTCGCTCGTCCAAAGGCGGTCATCTGATCGTAAATCGTCGCCTAGGCGCCAACATGGTCGACGAGACCAAGTGCAGTTCGGTCGAGGACGGCACGACCACGGACGAGGATCGGGACGTCCGCGTCGATTCCGGCGGATCGGACGAGGAGCTGTGCATGGACGAAGAGGACGAGGACGATGTGTCGTCGCCAACCTCGGCGGCGCCCGGCGCCCTGACGTTCGGCATATCTCGTCTGTTGGCCGGCGGCGGCGGTGGACGCGGTGCAGATGATCTAGCGTCCAAACGTTCGGCGTCCTGCACTGGCATGGCCGCAGCCGCCGTGTCCGGCCCCGCAGAGGCGCTCGCCTCGCTGTACGCGGCCGGGCACCACCATGCGGCCGTGTTCGGCCTTCACCACCACCTGCACCAACAACAACACATGGCTGCCGCTGCGGCCGCTGCGCACCAAGCAGCCGCTGCAGCCGCCGCTGCGGCCAACAAGCCAAACGACGACAAGTCGTACCTGCAGTACTCTGGAGCAGCGGGCGTCATCAAGGTCCCAGCACATCGGCCGCACCCGTCCAACGGCGGCGGTGGCGCGCCAGGTCCGATGCAGTCACCTTGGGCCGCGGCCGCGGCCATCGACCCTGTGTCATTCATGCAGCGCAACGCTTTCCTGTTCGCCGCCGACAAGAACCGACTGGCAGCTGGTACGTTATTATGTTTACCTCATAATACCTATTTGTAGTGTTTAGGTACGAAGCATTTTAAGCTATAGTATTTGATATGTAGCTTGATTTTTATACCCCCACATAAAGATGATTTTTAGCTTAAGTAGCTGGGGCAAGTTTGGTAGTTGTTATAGATCCGTCAGTCTAGTATCCTGAATTTAAAATTAATACATCCAACCGAAGGTACTAGGAATATTGTACAAACCAACTCGAATCTGAAAATTTTCATATTATAACCAAAGTTTATTATTCCCTCGATTCGTGTTTCTCATTCCTGAATGATAAAAATGATGTTGCAGTCTTGCACACAAAATAAATGACTTTGAAATCGAATATCGTAAAGGTACACATTTATTTATTTAGTTTATTCTAGTTACAAGAAATATACATTGTATAATAAATATATATCGCCAACATTGCAAAGTTAAAGTCTTCTTTTAGTTTTCTTATATATATATATTATATATTATATCATATATAGGTACGTATAGTTATGGGTACACACATACCTTTTGTCATTATTAGTTATTATCAAAATGATAGTTTCGTTTTAATTTTTAACTCGAGATTTAGGGAATTACATTTTTTTAGTAATAATATATATATATAGGTAAATTAGATAGATCGATTAATACTATGTTTGTTACGACAACTTGATATAAGTATATAAGTATAATTATGCCACTTTCACGACTTATATACGAGTGTATCTATGTTTTGTAATACGCGCTGTAGATGTACGTGTATATTTCAATGTTTTTTTTTAATTTTACTAAATAAATCTACTTTCTCTGACTCATAATATTTATAATTAATGAACCAAAAAATCAAATGATCGCCAAGCTTCACAGGTGCCTATGTAATACATAATATATAACTACACCAGTTCACGTATAAATCGTATAACAAGTATATTATTATATCCCTGAATTTATGTAGTGGCTATAGAATATGTTATGCATAAATATTTCATGAAAATTGTTTTAATAAAACCTTGTTAAACGCATTATAATTGCAACACTTACAAAACTCTTTAATACATGCATAACATTACATTATAGGTAAGTACCTGCAAATTATTCTGCACAGCGCACATTAATACAGTATTATATATAGGTACATAGTCATACGCGTGCTCTCATTACTCGTTCTCAACACGTTTCTGTGTTATAGGTACACGATAGCATAACGAGCGTAGCAAAAACATCTCGATTTGACTTAATTAGTTTACATGCTGTTAATCATTTTTTATAAACTGCGTGCGCGCGATCATAATATGGTCTGAATCTAATTAGAGTCGGTCAGTCAGCGTATTATTTTTCAAAACCATTTTGTATGGGCCGACAGAGTAATTGAGCGTATATTATATAGACTATATATGATAAAATTGTATTGGTATGACACACATATATACATATAAGATAATTTCTATCGGGTAAACCTCGGGGCAGCAAATTATTTTTTGGGTTTACATACATCATAGATCTATAAATCTATAATTATTTCGAGGATAAAAGATTCGTGGTTTTTTTCATAAAAATCAACTAATTTAATTAAAATTGTTTAACATAATATAGGTATAGATTCTATTATTATATATACAGAGCCAGGTATTGCGGTTTTCATTTTTCCCTTCACGTGAAACATAAAAATGAAATGGCTCTCAGTGTTCAACCTGTATAAAAATATTCATATTCATATAGGTATTGGTACTATATATTATACGTATAAAATTACGATTTTCTTAACGCAATTTATCGCAAGACATTTCAAAACGATAAAACAAAACACAAGTTTCTTCCCACCCTTCGTTCTTATTGTATATAATCCAATCAGAGTAATGGCCGTGTACTTAGTTTTGAAGCCGTGACTAATTATTCTAGACGTGGGTTCTATAAAACGCAATTTTCTTTTAATGATCGCAGTTACGGTATAGTTAAATATTAACACCTTAGAACTTCATCACTGTTGTTGTATTAATTTCCTTTATCCGCATATATTGTTTAACTACGTCGGTATATATATATAAATATACGAAGAAAAAATAGTCCACTGCGCCCTGAAAGTTATTATATTAATTATTAGTGAGTCTCAAGCTTTGACTTTTTTTTAATTTTTAAGTGAAGGCCGTAACGATTATACCTTTATACAATTTTACAGCAAGTAATTTAATTTCAGGCATATTTCAGGCAAAACAAAATATTGTTTTATGTTTAAGCAACGTCTGGCTATTTAGTTGACATGCATCTACATATTTTATGTACATTTTAAACTACTATTATTCATATATAATTAAATTTACCATACTTGACGTGTATTTTTAGTTTAATTATATTTATACTGTTTTGAGTATTTATTCTATTACTGCAGGCGTTTGAAATCTCTCGTCATTGCACTTGCTGCAGGTGCGGTGCAGTAGCAATACCTGCTCAATGTAACAATTTTTTTAACTGGCCTAAACTTTACATAGTATAGCGTGTTTACACATGACACTTGCACATACAGATAATAAAATACAGTAAAAAACACAAGTTTACCATACTTAAAATATTCGGATCAAGAGCATGAGTTGTGTATGTTGAATGATATACAATAATAAAACATGTTTGTTCATCTGTATATCTACGTACACTATACTTATTGAAATTGTATTATTATTTAACATTCGTGTTACTTTCGTTGGTATATAATATAATATAAGTAGGTATACCAACAAATATAATATGTTGATATATTTATACGTATAAAACACGTTTTAAGCAGCGCCGCTAAAATTCATTTACACTAAAAACCTGCCTCGTATAATTATCATATGCGGCTGCAGCTATATACTTAATGTAGGTTTAAAACGTTAATTTCTTAGTTTTTTATATACTTTTCTAAAAGTGGGTAATTAAAGTAAACTGTGAGTTCAGAATAGCTTCGCGAACCACAGTGACAATATTTTATTGTGTGACTAATACTAAAAAAAATTGTGCTATCTATATATATATAAATACCAACTACCACTAATCTCCAGTAGTTATGCATACCTATTGCTTATAATTCATATTTCGGTTTACATTAAAGTCAACAAATATTATTTTTTAAATATATTTTATTCATTAGTCATTAATCATTTTATTAAACATAATATAAATATAGTCATATAGGAATAGTATAATATTATTAATTATTATAATGTCCTTTGAAAATTATTATTTAGTATTCATTTATGTCCGAACATTGAAACTACGAGTTACTTACAGGTACTTATACTATAATTTCGTATGTATATATTATCTATATATAGGTTCATAATAAATATATGTATACCTAAATAAAATCTTTTTGTATCATAAATATACACATTTTTTTTTAAACTGGCTCAAAAAACGCTTCGAGGATGATCGCGTGTTTGGCTACCGAATTACTCGACAAACGGAATTCCGAGTATAACATCGGTAAATTTATAAACGTATGTATATTTATATTTATTTGTCTACAGTTTGAACATAATTACCAGGCAATCTTTCACTGACAGACAGACCAACAAATCTAAAATACTATTCTCTTTCTCTAAATGTATAATTTACACATATGTAGGTTTACGTATACCTAAATAGACATACTCACCGCGTATAAGAATTCACATTATATTATATTAGTCGGTGTGTAAATTATACTTGTAATTTTATAAAACATATTATATCCATTTTTTACGAAAGAAAAAATTATACATCGCCTTGAAACGTTTTGGTTAATAAGGTGCAATCGTACTGCAGTTTCTATACGTGTATGTCATTTAAAAATAATCATTTCATATCTAACGAATATGATATTATTTTACTAACCTGCCTGTATGAATTTATGCTATATAATATAGTTTGTTATAACAGCGTTATGTTCGTTTCAAAGATGTCGACAAATCTTTTTCAATTGCATGTACGCATTAGGCACCAATAAGTCATAAGATGTGCAGTTTAGAGATGAACGATTCATTTCAGGTACAGCTATATATTATTATTTATCGAAAACAGAAAAAAAAATAACCAAATTACCCGTTCATTATCCACATAATTGAACAAATAAAACAAACAGAAGGGATTGTTTGAATTGCTTACACTTTCACTCATCATCAATTATAATCAATTTTTTTTTACTGTTTGATTCGAGGAAGCACTCATATATATATACAATATATTTCTGTTACGTACTACAACAAACGCTTTAATTCAATCAATATTCTATTATTGTATTTACGACACTTAGTACTTATATATAACACACATTATATGTATAAAGTACATATACTCAATTATAGGTACGCAGTTATATGTATGCCCTAGTATACCATAAAGTATAATAATATTTAAACAGTTTTCAAGAACTCGATAGGTTATGTATATTATATTATATCTAGTTATTGAAACGCTACGCACAGTAAGAAATGTATTATGACATAAACGCTTAGTAGAAAAAAATAACGAAATAAAACTCAAACAGTTATTTACTAGTATAATTATTATAGGTGCATATATTATACATATATATATAAAAAACTGTACATATCTTAATAATTATAAAAAATGTATAGCTTATTTATTATTCTGTTATATTTTTATATTCATTACTATTTTTGTGCAGTTGATCGTTTTTTAAACATTCGCTATTTTGTGTCTTAACCATTTTTGTTTCTCGGTTATAGTAATCATCGGTGACTTATAAGACGTAATGAATTGCATAAAATATCTGAAAACAAGCTGGTGACTTTAACATTATAAATATTGAATATTTAAATTTAACTATATACATTTGTATTAAAAAAAAAAAAAAAAAAATTATTATTATTATTATGTATAGATTAACATTTAAATGTCTATAATAATATATATACCGTCAATAAATATGTCTATATTTACCGTTATTGATAATGCGTTTGCGGGCTCTGCAGTAGTTTCTATGTTATAATTTAATGGCATATAATAATAGGTATATTA